ATATCTTGTATTTTAACTATTTGAGGTCGGTTCTATCTTAATGATTTAACAGGATGTTTAGCTGCCGACTTGAAGCAATCTTATTATGATTTAGGAAGCCACTATGAGGTAAGTGTGATACTGTTAAAATTTCCGTTTGGTCACTCATCCGAGAACCGTAAACAACGTAGCTAAATGTCAGTGTTAAAGCGACGACTGAATGAACCACATAAAGTTAAAAATGTACTGGTTTAGTAATTTTGTTTGTGTTTTTTATGATTTATGTAATTTTTATATAAAAAAAAAGTTTTAAAAAAATATAGTTTTAAATTACTGTGAAAATCTCAGTCAACATGCATCCAATATATTTTGTTATTTATTTCTTTAGAATTTGACACATTATAATACTTACATTTTTACCATATTTTAATATGTTTATAATAAACTTATGTAATGAGAAAATAAGTTATAAGTAAATGTAAAAAATAATCCAAAAATAAATTACGATCAAAAGTTTGATTAAAAGTTTAAAATGTTTATATTAAAAAAGATACAAAGATAAGTTAAAAATAATATAGTTCAATAATTAATAGTTTCAACTTTGATGCGGAGTTGAAAATAAATAAATTTTAATATGATGTGTTTCTTTTGTGTTTGTTGCCCACTTCTCTAAGCTCTCGCAGAACCTATTTTTCTCAACGATACGTCAAAAGTTTAAAAATTGTATCTAGTTAAATATATTATCCTAAAAATTTGATAGAATTCCCTCGCTCTCTATAAATAGGGAAATCCTCCCAAAAATTAGGATTTTTATTATAAGTAAATTTCGACATATTTTTAATTTTTTGGAAGAATAATTTAAAAAATGATAATCTTGAATACCTTTTAGTAGAATACGTCACGTGAATATATTATTATCACTTTGTTAATGTTCCAACAGCAATATCAGATGAGTGTTTACCGTTCTACTAAAGTGACGGCTGACCTTTAAGGTTATCACTTTTTTTATTTTTACCCAGAGCATAGTATAATGATAGCTTTCCATTTAGCTTACTATTAATATTATTTCTGGAAATTACTTCCTAGATTGTTTCAATTGCTTAGTCACAATAAAGAGTTTGGCTTTATAACATTTTTTACTCTTTCTTTCAAAAGAATTTTTATTTTAATAATAGTTATTGTTAAAAAAACATTTTGAAGTTTTCTACAATAAGTTTCTTTAAAGTTTAATAATTTTTAAGTTAAAACGTCATAATTCATTTCATTTTTGAATATTAGTTTACAATTTTCACTTTTATAAAACCAAACATCTAAGTTTCATTGTATTATTAAAATGTCATGTTAAAAGTACATTCTTATACTATTATATTCACTGTAAATATTATGATATAGTAGTTTATATTGTACATTTCAGACTCGATTACGAACAGATATAAGATAAGAAGTTGTTAAAGCCCATTCTGTATTCACAGGACAAATTTATTATGGCAAAGGATGCAGCTTATTTGACACTGGTGATGGTATGAGTCCCGTTTGCGGTCAGATGAGTAATATAAACTTGTATGAGAATGATAGCGAACTGACACCTTAGCTAATTTTTCTTTTTCTCTGCATTATGATGAATTAATTATGAATGTCGTCACGATAGTGGCGAACAATTCGACGAAACTTTAAGTAATATTTCATTTGTTTTTCCTATGTATTCAAATAAAAATATAATATAATTAGGTCCAATAAAATAAACATGAATCATATGTTCTGATAACATCGTAAAATTATAATGATTAAAAATTTGATTCACATCAATTGAACAAATGAATTTAACATTAAAAATATCTTTATGTATTACCTAATGACCATTTATTTAGTATGAATATTTTAAATACACTAGTTTTCGTATAATCATATATTGATTTTGAATATTCTATTGATATTTTACTACATTTTATTTTTACAGTTTATGAAATGTTTAACGAACGAATTTATGCATAAATTTAAGATAATAAATGTAATTTGAATTATTTCTAAAGTTCTATCTTTGTTATCACAGTAAAAATCTTTTACTATCAATAAATTCTATCATATTATTGAACTAGTATAAAATTAATACTTTTATCAAAAAATTAAGTATAATATAATGCTTTATTTTAATAATACTGAATATTATTTATTATTATTATACAAATAATTGAAAAAATATTAGAAATAATTGTATTATTTTTTTAACAAAAATGGTCCTTTGTTGAACTGTATTACATAAAAAATACATTTTCTGTTACAATCTCTTATTTCTTCGTTATATTAATTTAAGTATCAACCTTCGATATTTTAATGATAAGCTTAACTATTTTATACCATTAAATTTATTTAAATAAAAAAATTTTTGTTTATAAAGTTTTTTTTCATTAAATTTTCAAAGTGATAAAGCTGTTTAAAGTTTATGGTCGATCAGAAAAAAAAGCTTTTTTTTTTTCCAGTCTTCAATCCTTAGATTGGTTTGCTGCAGTTCTCCATGCTTCCCTATTATTACTCAATTCCTTTAGTTCTTTATAACTATTCTTCCCCATGTCACTTATTATTTGCTTCATATACTCCATCCTTGGTCTTCCTCTTCCTATATGGCCTTCAACGTCGCTTTCTATGACGGTTTTTGTTATACTCTCATGGCGTAGTAGATGTCCTATCATTTTAGCTCTTCTAACTTTTATGGTATGCCATAGTATTTTCTTTTCTTTTATTCTATTTAATACTGCTTCATTCGTTATTCTATCAATCCATTTAATTCTTAACATTTTACGATAACACCACAATTCGAAGGCCTCTAGTTTTCTTTTCTCTATTGCATTGATTGTCCAGATTTCACAGCCATATAAGGCAATACTCCATATATATATATATTTTAAGAACCTTTTCCTTACTCTAAGTCCATACTATTGGTGGTTAGTTGGTGTTTTTTATTCTGCAAAGCCCTCTTCGCTTGCGCTATTATACTTAGAATTTCATCTTTACAATGGCCATCTTCCGTTATTTTATNGCCCTCTTCGCTTGCGCTATTCTACTTAGAATTTCATCTTTACAACGGCCATCTTCCGTTATTTTACTTCCTAAGTAGTTAAAGTGTTGGACTTGTTCTATGCGTGCGTTATCTATGTATATATTAAGTTGAGAAGGGTTTGTCTTGCTGCACGCCATAACCTTTGTCTTTTTTTTATTTAATCGCATTCCATATTTGTCCCATAATATTTTATTGACCTTAGTTAAAATATTTTGCAGGTCATTTTCTGTTTCTGCGCAGAAAGCGATGTCATCAGCAAATCTCAGAGCGTTAATTGTTTCTCCCCCTATTCTAACTCCTTGCTTTACTTCTATTCTTAGTTCTTTCATTACTTTTTCATNACTCCTTGCTTTACTTCTATTCTTAGTTCTTTCATTACTTCTTCAATATATAGATTAAACAGCATGGGTGATAGGTTACAGCCCTGTCGTACACCCTTTTTAATTTTTGCTATTTCTTCTTTTCCATCTATACGTATTAATAAAGTTTGATTTTTGTATAAATTATATATGCATCTTCTGTCGTAATACTTAATTCCAATTGATTTTAGAATATCGAATAATATACTCCACTTTACATTATCAAACGCCTTCTCTAAATCGACAAAGGCTATAAATGTATCTTTGCTTCTTCTAATTTGTTTTTCAATTAGTATTCTCAGTGTTAAAATTGCCTCCCTTGTTCCTATGTTTTTTCTGAATCCGAATTGATCTTTACCCAGATTTTCTTCTATCTTTTTATCTATCCTGTTTTTGATTATTCTGGTGATAATTTTGGCGGCATGTGTGATGAGGTTTAATGTTCTGTACTCTTCACATTTTTGAATTCCTTTTTTTTTTGGAATCAGTACCACAATAACCTTCTCGAAATCACTAATGGCTCTTCCCTTTAAATATATTTCATTGCATATTTTGTACAGTTCTTTTTTAACAGCTACGTCTGTGTATTTAAGTAACTCTGCTGGGATTTCATCTACACCATACGCTTTATTGTTTTTAAGGAAGTCCATCGCATGATCAAATTCGGCCTGCAAGATATTATCACCTTTATCATCCTCATCTACATTATCTTCTTCCTCAAATATCATAGTTGAATTATCCTCATATAATTCTTTCAGATATTCTTTCCATCTTTTAGCCTTTTTATCAGCTTCTAGTAATAATTCGCCGTTTTTGTTTATTAGGGTTCCTGCGTTTTGTTTCCTTTCACGAAAAAGCTTTTTTGTTTCTGAAAACGCCAGGTCACTTCTTCCTTTTTTTAAAAATTCTTCTATTTCCTTACATTGCTCATCTAGCCATTTTTCTTTAGCTTTTTTTATCTTCCTTTGCACTTTATTTCGTATTCTTTTGTATTGTTGTTGTTCTTGAGTGTTAATTTGATTTTTATACCTTCTTCTTTCCTTTATTAGCTTAACTATTTCGTCTGTCATCCAAGGTTTTCTCGGCTCTTTTTTTTTGGGTTCCTAATACTTCCTCTGCCTGGATCTTTAGAATTTTCTTAATATTTTCCCATTTATAATCCTCCGACTGACAATTATCAATTTGTATGTTGTTTAATGCTATCTTACAATTATTTTAAATTCTATTCTCTTCTCATCTTTTTTAAGCATTTCTAAATTCCATTTTTTTGTGAATCCACTTTTCTTAATTTTTTTGTACTTTAGATTTGTTTCCATAATAATTAGATTGTGATCGCTGTCAATATCAGCACCATGATAAGTTTTGCATTGTTTAATTTGATTTTTAAAGCGTTGTTTAGTAATAATATAATCGATTTGATATTTCGCTGTATCTCCCGGCCTCTTCTATGTATATAATCTTCTTTTATGGTGTTGGAAAAAAGTGTTTGCAATTGTCAATTAGTGTTGTGTACAGAACTGTATTAGTCGTTTCCCTCTCTCATTTTTGGTTCCCAAGCCATAACTACCCGTTATGTTACTTTCTTTCCCTTCGCCTACTGCTGCATTTCAGTCGCCCAGGATTATAACATTCTCCCCTGCTTTAGTAATCGCTATTATTCCATCTATTTTATCATAAGATTCTTCAACTTCTTCGTCATTTTGTGATGATGTTGGCATGTATATTTGGATAATCGTTGTAATAGCAGGTTTGGTATTAATTTTAACCATGATGATCCTATCTGTACATTGATAGTAGCTGATCACACTTTCTCCACATTGTTTATTCATGATGATGCCTACCCCAGTATGTCCATTTTCCGAGCCTGTATGAATGAATCTGTACTCATCACTCCAAAAATCACCGGGATCTGGCCATCTTACTTCACTTATCCCTATAATATCAATATTTAGTCTTCTCATTTCTAGTTTTAAATTTTCAAACTTTCCGCTTCTTCTCAAGGATCTTACATTCCATGTGCCTACTCTTTTATAGTTTTGTTTTGTTTTACTCAAGGCAGTCTCCACCCGGACATCCGAACGGGAGACTAGTTTACGTCCGGAATCTTTTACAATGAGTTCACAATCCATAACTGCAGATACTAGGGATAATAAGGTGGTGGTTTCCCGTTTCCTTCCACCTCGCCGTTTTGTAAACCTTTAGATGGCTGCCATCTTCACTTACAAATGTTTGGTATGTAGCTGTATCGATCTCCTTGATCTCCACCTACATCCAATACTGGGGAAGCTGCTGCCCTTCCCCAGACCCTTTTGATCGCCTCTTACGACAAGCAGGGATTGCTCTGGGCCAATTCTATCCCGGGACCTAGACGGGAAAATTGAATTCAATAAATTTTTTATTTAAAAAATAAACGAAATCTTTTATAAAGAAAATAGTACTAAAGTATTAATTAATTTTAATTGAGAATGAGGATATGTATTTTTTGATTAGTGTGAAAGTTAAAAACCCAGCACAGGGGGGTCGCGGCACAGTGGTGACGTGGCATAGTTTGATCAAGTATAATGATATCTAACAGTGATTAAAATCACCAAAAAAAAAAACGCTTCGATGCAAATCTTTAGATAGTGTTTAATTTTAAAAAATTGGTGGATTATTCCAAAAGCTACATGATCTGCTAGTTCATTATTAATATCCTAATTAAGATAAAGTATGTCGAATGAAAAAGGGATTATTAAAAAATATTATTTCTTATAAAAAAATAATGTTGATCCATACACTTTTAAATATGTCATAGCATTATAAAGTTAAAAATGTAAAAAATAAAATCGAGAATTTTCACATAATAATAGCATTTGGTAGCCATTTTCACCGTGAAGATAAAATAAAGTCCGAAATTTTTTTTTGGCATAATAAAGTAGATTACATTAACTTTAATTTAAGATATAAATAAAAGTGTCAGACTTTCCGGAACAGTTTCAAAATTTAAGTTGAAAAAGTAAATTTTTTGTGAAAAAGTTGTCATTTTAAATCCCCCTCTGTGGGCAGGTAAAGGGTCAGATATAAAAAAAATATATACCAAATGATAGGTAAAGACATCATGCATCTATAAAAAAAAAATTATATTGATCCATACATCTTTCAAAAAGTTATAGCATTATAAAGTTAAAAATATAAAAAAGAATTTTTTTACAAAAATCGTATTTTTTTTTAAAACTTTGATGTCTATTTTCACCATGAAGATAAAATAAAGTACGAAATTTTTTTTTACCATAATGAAGTATATTACATTCGCTTTAATTTAAGATATATATAAAAGTGTCAGACCTTCCAGAACACTTTCAATATTTAAGTTGAAAAAGTTCTACTTTTTACATGCATTTTTTAGATTTGAACCCCCCTCGTATATAGGGAAATGATTCGATTTTGCGTATTTTAAACAATCAAAAGAATTAGTTTCAATAGAGGGAAACAGCTTTTAATAGTCAGTGGAGGGTAGTCTAGCGATCTCTAGCGTAATTTTGGAAGATGAGGATTTTAACTTCAATTGGATAATTATGATTAAAGTCCCACACATTGGCGTTACATTAAAATCTTTAGGGTAATTAGAATTAGCCTCATTATTAGCGGGTTATTTTGTATTTTATGTGAAGAGAACCCGTTTTGGTGTATTATATTTTAATATTATAAGTGATAGCATATAATTACATTATAAATTATTTCAGACACTATATTTTCCATATTTTGTTAATATTTAAAATTTTAATATTAATATTCGACCAATCTTATGTCGTATTGATTTAAAATTTATAATATTTCAGTTTTATAATTTAATTTTATATTAATATAATATTTCAGATTTGTTTTCTGTAAGTAATTGAATATATAAAATAAGAAAGCTTTAAATTTTATTTTGGGATACATGATTTTCTATATGTGGTTGTGTTGTTCGGGTGTAATACAGAGAAGTGATTAATTGACATAGCCTCGTGGGAATGGGCCTAAAAAAAATTCTACTCGCATTAAGACAGAAAAAGTAAACACGAAAGAAAAAAATTGTGTACAGTTTGTTCTTATTTTGCTTAGGTTTGAAAAGGTGGAAGGCTCCTGTTAATATATTTTTCATCAGGTCATTCATTTCACTGTCCTTCCGCCCATTTGAAAAAAAATTTGACCAAATGCCATTTATCAAGGACAATTCAATGTGTTTAATTCATATAAAATTTAAATTGTACTCGTATTTATTACTATTGAATAGTTACAATGTACTAATTATTTTTATTAAAAAGAAAAGCAAAAGTTCCAAATATTTTTTTAATTTAACAATATTTGATTAATAATTAATCAAAAAATCGTAAGTATAATTCTTATGACTTTGTATATAATGTGTTTTTTACAAACCAAAAACAATGAAAAGAAAAACGTATTTTTCGTCCATATAGGCAAATTGTATTTAATTTTTGTTGATTACGCTTTAGTAGATTCATCATAGTAAAGATAATTCTTGTGAATGTGATAAGGCGAGAGTGAAAAAGTATATGAAACATAAAATGTCATCTTGTTAAGCTATCTTTTGGTACTAATTAAATGTGTTATCGTATTCGTGTGATTTGCAAATGTAGCCATTCTCAGAACCTGTTCTGTTACGGTTGGTTTATTTTAAATTGTCATCGGTTTTTTTGTTCCCTCCTGGGGGGAGTTTGGAGGCTTACGCTTACGAAGGGTCTTAAATCGATCACCGGAGCCGGCACGCGTAGATTATCCCAAAACTGACGGTGGAAAATAACAATGATAAGAGTAAAGATAAAATCACGGTATTTTAAAATAAGTCGATCAGAAATATAAAATTCTGAGAATGCTCACATTTACAAAATATGCATTATGCAACTGATATACCTATTTCAATTATCTATCGGCTACATAGATTGGAAAATTTCCCCCATACCTATAAAAAAAAAAACTATTTTGTTAAATCAGGAGTTATAAATTTTATAAGTAAAAATACAGTAACATATTTTATACTATTACGACAAAAATAAAAAAAATATATACATTATTATTAATTTTTAATACAAAAATATATATAAATCAACTTTAGGATAAACACAAATTAAAAAGGAAAATGAAAATTGAACTTATTATATCATAAATTGTAATTTATTAAATTTGGAAAAATAATTATATTAGATTTGCAATTATACTTATGTAATTTTGGACCTGTATTAAATTTTTTCACAAAGTTTTACAAAAAAACTTTTATAATAAAATTTTAAATGACATGTATTTTTCTACTTCATAAAACTTTTCTTTGCACTATTCCATTTTGTTTAACTACCCGCGAATTCGATAAATCGTAATTCGAGTTTTAAAAACTTCAAAACACACGTGTACCTACATTGCCTATATAAAATGCCGTTAAATTTTTTATGTGTTTATAAGTTTCAAAAAGTACTGATGTAATCTTCACTATTTTGAGATCTAATTTTGCTATACATAATTTCAGCTGGAAAGTTGTGGTACCACAAAACTTTATTTAAAAGTTTTTTTGTAAAACTTTTTGAACAAATTTAATACAGGTCCAAAATCATCGGAGTGGATTAGCCCGGGTCCCCGATCTTGGCGGAGGACTCGGCCAACAACAACAAGTCACTGTACACCGACTTGGACGAGTACGTTTACGACGCCCAATGCCGGCGTAGTCTGGAACCCGAACCGCAGGACGTGTACGCCGAGTTGTGGCAGAGGGAGCGCGATTTGCAGGCCGCCGAGCTGGGAAAAACTCTGCTGGAGAAAAACGACGAGTTGTCCAAGCGTAACGAACGGTTGGCCGAAGAGTTCAGTGAAAAACTCGAGGAAATAGAATAAGATAGACATTCGCTAAAAAGGCGGTTAGTCAATGCTCAAACCGAATTTGACGCTAAACTATTAGAACTGCAAGCTTACGTTAGAGACTTACAAGCAGCAGTATCTCAAAGAGAACGACAGCTCAGACAGACTGAAAAAGAAAAGGCTCGTTTGGTTTCCGAGCTGACCGAACAGAACCATCGCCTTCAAACCCAAATCAAAGAGCTGTCTAAAATTGAACACGATCTTCAAGCTCAATGTCGACAACTGCAAGATCAATGTTTCCAGAGAAAATGGTCACTACATGACCACCAGTCAAATCTAGATGTACTCCGAGAAGAGATACAATTTACTGCAGAGAAAAAATAAAAACTTCAACTGAGCCAAAGCAAAGCACGTGAAAAGCTCTTAAAACAGAAGCACNCAACTGAGCCAAAGCATAGCACGTGAAAAGCTCTTAAAACAGAAGCACAAAACCAAGGTTACGTATGATCAAACCATTCACCCCGTAGATGTGCATGTGGGCGATCAGGTCTTACTTAAGGACCATGCCCGAAAGGGAAAATTCAGTGCTAAATGGCAGGGCCCATTCGTTGTGATCGAAGCCCACGAAAATGAGAACGTAACGATTCAAAAAGGACGACGTAGTGTTAGGGTCCACAAGAACCTGTTGAAAAAATTTGTGAATTAAACCATCTTTTTACCAACCCCCTGTTGGTCGGGGTATAGAATAGGCCATCGGTGCGTCCTGCCTGTCGTATAAGGCGACTAAAGGTGATGGGGAGGGATTTTTATCTCCTAAACTTTTCGATTTATCTTGAATCCTCCTTCCCATCTTTTTACCAACCCCCTGTTGGTCGGGGTATAGAATAGGCCATCGGTGCGTCCTGCCTGTCGTATAAGGTGACTAAAGGTGATGGGGAGGGATTTTTATCTCCTAAACTTTTCGATTTATCTTGAATAAAATAAAATAAAGAAATTTGTGAATTAAACCATCTTTTTTACCACCCCCTGTTGGTCGGGGTATAGAATAGGCCATCGGTGCGTCCTGCCTGTCGTAAGAGGCGACTAAAGGTGACGGGAAGGAACTACAGTGACGATACACATCACGTTTAATCGAAACTACCTTTTCCATTTTTCTAAGATGACTATTTTATTCATTATTTCGTTTACTACTTCATTTCCTAAATCATTTACTATCTCTTGTATTAATCTGTTTAATACTTCGTTTACTAACTCATTTAATATTTCATTCAATATACGATTTACTAATTCGTTCACTTTTTCA